ATTTAATCGTAAATGAAGATCTTGTATTGTCTCTTATTAATCGTTGTTTTGTTGCAAGTGTTTCCTATTCATTGCTGGTACAGAGCTCATTCTGTTTAAACAAATCAGGCTTTGAAAAGATTGCGTTAGTAGCTGGTACGATAGCTGTCTCAGTTGTCAGTCTATCTATTTCATAAGAAAACGTGTTTTCAAATTATCACTGAACATTTTAGCTGACTCCGACCATTTTTTGAACAAAGAGTATGCACTTATATCTTCTATCCGGTGATATGTGTTGCAACGTTTTAAAACAAATAATGTTCTTGGAGTGAGTGAGTGAGTATGGTTTTACGCCGCTTTTAGCAATATTCCAGCAATATCACGGCGGGGGACACCAGAAATGGGCTTCGCACATTGTACCCATGTCGGGAATCGAACCCGGGTCTTCGGCGTGACGAGCGAACGCTTTAACCACTAGGCTACCCGACCGCCCCAGTGTTCTTAGAGCTTTTATCTCATGAAGTATGCGTCTCTTAAATGAATGCTAAGCCCTGAACTGTTTTAGTCTCTTTGTTTTATGTTAGCACTCTATTATGTACAACGAATTCTCTTGTGGGCAATAAAGTATTGACCATTCGTATTGACTCAATGTATGTCATTAATATTTCTGAAACAGCAATACCGTGGACACAACAATTAGGCATTTACTGAGGCTGGCGTGAATCTAAGCAAATTGCCAATAAAATTGCTTCAGATAATAATATCATTCCTGATTCTCTCTCTTTCAGCGATAAGAATTATTACGAGGTCCGTCGTTAAGTTAAGATTGAATAGCCATGTGGCATTTTGTTCTTCAACATTAGTGTATTGAGCTAGCCAGGTTGACTTTGGTCACTTTTTAATGTCTTGGCGAGTCGCTGCGACATTTGATAACAGTGGCAGACGTTCATGAAAGGCACGTGCTCATTGTCCTGCGTGTTAGCGATAACACAATGAAAGAGTCGAGTCATATTTTGTTTGTATTGTGTGAAATAATCGATACCCAACACAGTGACTCTTTCGCGGCGGAAAACCATGATGTGAGTGAGTGAGTGAAAGAGTGAGTGAGTGAGTGAGTGAGTGAAGGAGAGGAGTCGCGGGGAGCGATGGAGGGAGAAAACGAGGGTTTGGAGAAGTGAAGGAGGAAGAGCTAGTGATTGAAGGAGGTAGGGATGAGAGAGGAGTGGAGAGAGGAAATGATATTCATATCAATACTTAAAACACTATTGTGGAAATTATTGCAATAGCTGTACCACTACAACAGTACTTATTAGTATTGCTGTAGTATTGTGACAGTATAGGAAAAGTATTCTGAGCTTTTCATCTTCGTATCCAGTTGTGTACGTGTATATTGACATCTTTGACATCTTCAATAATTACTCATCTTCGTATCCAGTTGTGTACGTGTGCGTTGACAATGTTCTTGATACACGTGTGAGTGTTTGTGAACGTTAGTATCGTCTCGATAACTACCGCTTCAGGTAATATTTGATTATAGGTGTCTATTCTGCGTTTGTAAACACCTTTCGTGAGCGCATTATGACTTTCGCTCACACTGAGATTTGATACATTCATTACAAATTGTATATATGGTGTCGATGTATCGGCGGGGAACGCGCGTACGAAAACGTCCTCAGCGTTTGTCGCGGGGACCGACTTCATCTGTGACTTGGATGATTGTAGGTCTTCACGTCCCTATGGCCTCTATTGTTCTTCGTGCGTTTAGTCACTGCATTGCCTGGTCCACATTCGATTATTTGCAGGAAGCCGTAGTATGGATGGAATATTGTTGACTTGGGTGTAAAACAACATTCATTCACTTACTGAGGTGGAATTCTGACCACCACTGGGGAATCATACATTAAGGTTACATATTTAAGATTTCCCTGCAAAGAAAAGTGAAACCTTTGTTATTTGAAAACAATAACCAAACAAACCAATATTGTCGTTAAATGGTTTAAAATTGATATGCATAGTCGACAAATGAAAGCAAAGAACAATTATGAATAGATGAGTGAAAATTTTCAAAGGCCTCTTTGAACAGTATTTCAGTAATATTGGCGTGTCAGTGTGATGTGTTCGATGTGTCCGTAGTGATGCCGGTCTCAGACGTTTACCACTTTAGTATGGTGCTCACAAACCAGATAGAATTCGAATCCACTACTTGATGGTCCTGGGGAAACTAGGGATGCAACTTCAGTACTGCAGCAAACACGTGCATTTGAGTGTATAAGGTATCATAATTTGATTAATTAAAATACAGCTTTGACGTCACTCTGTTGTTTCAACTGTAGATTATCTGTAACGAATTGACAGTTTACTGACCTGCATTCGGCAACGTTAATTTAAATGTCATCAATTAATTCTAAGCACATGCCTTAGTTACGAATGTACTGGCTTCGATGATCAAATCGCTCATAATACAAGTGCAGTACGAATACACGGGCTAGTTCCAATGCAACACTGACTATTTATTTATTTATTTACTTACTTACTTACTTACTTACTTATTTACTTACTTACTTACTTACTTACTTACTTACTTATTAATTTATTGGCTGTATTTTAAATCTGATTACCTGATATTTTGTTACTTTGATGCTGTATTTTTAGTCAGACAAAGCCTACCTAACTGGATATTCCTTACGAATAATGGTACTCGACATATGTGCGTTATCATTAACATGCTGTTTGGATTAACAACAAGCAAGCTGAGTTACTCTTACCTTGAAACAGAGCTGAAGTTGTAGGTCACCAGAGTAATGATTTGCTATTATCTGTAAACGTATTTATAATTTGGAATGTTGCCAAAGAATACTTAGTTGATGAGACATTACACAAATGAGATCGTTTCATTCCAATGTCAACATTTCAACAATTGGCTTCATATTTAACGTTTAATAACAAAATGGATTATTTGAATTGGCATCAATGGATTCAAGGTCAGGGACCGTGGGAACGCGACACGTCATTGTTGGTGTTGACAGGACATTACTCACTGCAGTGGGAATATTTCTCTTGTTTGTTTAAACTGTCGGGCAAAAGAAACTATACACTTGAAAATTTGATTTGAACAAAAAAAGTACAAATTTTATCAAAGAGTCACCATCAAATGATATCAAATACATCAGCATCGAATAAGCGCTTCTTGGATGTTTCAATCTTCACCACCATCAAGCAGGGGTATGTACTGTCGATAGCCCGCCAGTTTAGTATGTGGACTTTTTTTTTGTTAATGCGGTAACGCCACCTGGCTGAGATAGGGGCCGAGTCGGGGCTCCCTGTGGCCGGATTCATTGTGGCATATGTGGTATCTCTAAACTTAAATTAATTTCTACCCACAGGTAAAAGTTACTGTGATCATAGATAATTTTCTGACAAGTGTCGTTCATACCAGGGGCCCTTTACAAACGTACTGGGGCGAGAGGGAGAGTCACACCTCTAATGTCTTGCTCTTCAAATTATTGTACATTCTCGATGGTATTTCTCTAATAAATTTTGTAAAGAAAACAAATATTGGTAACTTAGTTTAAAATTTTGAATTTGTTGTGATAAAAAGTAACACAATCCTTTTTCAGGAAGTACATTGTCAATCAAACAGTTACACCAGCACGCTTTAAAATAGAGAGTTTTGAGTTCTGTGCTTCTGGATAATCACAATGTATTGTTGGCACTTACTACAAGCATATGGTCCTCGGGACCTGTCTGTCCCGGACTGTTCCCAGGGGAACTAGAGGTTACTAATGTGAGAATCAGAAGGGGACCCTTACATCACGACTGAAAACTAACTCAGCATGAAGACAGTGAAGCGTGCGAATATACCGAAGTGACACTGATCACTCCTTTACATCAGGTGCGCGGTGTTATTGATCTAACTTGAACACACAATATACGGTATGTGCCTGTCTGGGTAATTACTGATATAGACGGTATACTAGAATGGATTTTGCATGTTATTATGAAATCAACACTTGTTCAATTCAAATAATGATAATTAATGTAATGGTAGTGCTTGACATGAATGATCGCCACCCAGGGTATTATTTCTCCATTCTTTGATAAATACCGGAGACCATTCGCTACCGACGTTGATGCATAATGTAGATTCGTCATGTTTTCTTTCCATCTGTTTCTAAATAATCAAATCACAACAAATAGCCCATTCTTTCTGAATTTCAAATAGGATAAAGATTTTTTTATTTATTACGATTTAAAAAAGCATTACCTTCGTAAATGTAAATCACATATTGCATATCGACAACTTATAAATATGAGAAGGTAAACAGTTTCTAGATTAAAATTGTTTTCCCTTTTTGATATTAATTACCAACAAGATTTATTTTTGAACTGATGAGAAAAAATAATTCGGAAAACGTTGAAACCCCGAAATTTGAAAACCTACAAGATAATGACCCTTTGTCTGTCAGCGCCAAACATATATGTGTGTGGTAAAAAGTAAATGGTAAAATCTGCAATCCTCGTGTCTTTGGTCCTTACTTCTACATTTAATATAAGTTGACAAGTCGTGTTATAACTGAAATACTGTCCAAAGCACTTGAACGTAAGACGATGCAGAGTAGACCCGTCTTGTGCTTCCAGGGTTATAGAAACCTAACACATACGTGATGTATAAATCAAATTAACGACCAACTCGTATATATGATTACTTGTGGTATTCTTTTCATTAAACAACTTATTGAAACCACACACACATTAACACAATAATTGGGCTTTTATACTATTTACTTATGCACAGTTCCAGCGCTGGACAGCCCGGCCACGTCCTTATAGATGACTATGTCTATAGATATGACCCGTACAGGCGAGAAAATAAACAACGATGTCAATAGCTTACCTGTGCAGGTGGGCGGGCGTGGGGACAGGTAAACGAGGTGTAAATTACCTATATTGACTTTGATCCCCATGCGAGGAGCTAGGTATGTACGGTGATCAGCTGATGTTGATGGCGTTGCGTGTTGCAGGGTGTTGACAACGGCGACAGACGCAAAGGAGGAGCGAGGGGGTCAGGACATAGTCAGCATGATTGAAGGAGTCGGGTCATCGAAAATGTACTTCAGGTAAGTAGAGAGTAAAGAAATGGTAATACAGGTGTGAAAAATGATATTATATAAACTCTTTTGTGTTTCGTGGCAACACATATTGTTGGTGGGATTGATGTCCTCTACATGTATCCGTTTTGTTCTTATTGAAGGATGTTGATAAATGGTTTGAGATAAAACATGATGTTCAATATATTTGATGCAGATCAGCCTCAATAAATCCTAATTACAAGGGGTGGTGGGGTAGCCGAGTGGTTAAGGCTTTCGGTCGTCACGCCGAAAACCCAGGTTCGATTCCCTAGATGTGTACAATGTGAGAAGCCCATTTCTAGTGTTACCTTCCTTGATATTGCTGGAATATTGCTAACAGAGCCAAAAAACCAACTCTCTCATAAATACTATGATTACATAAACAAACATATTTGATACTGCATCAATAGTTTCATATACAAAGCAGTCTTGGCTATCTGTAAGAACCAGAGGTCACTACAAAGGTCACGGTATACGTGAACGCGCTTCGGATGGTGTGACGAATACCACTACAGCTAACACCGCTAAAGTAAAGATGATTTTCTTTTTTTATTATTATCTTATGTTCTCGAAACGGTGAGGCCTAACGGTCACTAAAGACAATTACAAAAACGCTTAGGTTTTTTGTGAGTCAGTGAATGAGTAGTGTTTTTCGACGTATATCAATATTCCGGTCAAATCACTAATTGGCTTAATACTTAGGCCATGTTGGGAATGGGCCTTGGGTCTTCTGCGTGACGGGAGGGAACATAACCCACGGTGCTTCCCCACCGGCGCATTATTCAGAATTTTTTTCAGACTTGTCCATTCCTCTTTTGTACTGGATTCCAAAGTTTCATAAAATCCGTACAAAGAAAGATAAAATGCATGGTCCAGCACTGTCTCATAACCCTTAATACAATCAAGGAAGGTCATATTCACAGAAAGTATTTGAGACTATTGGAATAAATACCATGTGGATTGAATGTTCAATTCTGTTTTGATATCTCCACTCTGTACACCTCCATACTACACCACTGACAAAGGGAGAACCTTCAGCCCTTGATCCGCGGTCATCTGTTCCTGAATATGGTGATAATAGATATAGTTACATCTTACAAGGGTACAGGATAATTGGTAAAAAATGAAAGCAACTGTCTGACTGTCCGACAATATGTGACATGCTGGACTTCCTCATGGATAACAGACCCGTGAAGATCCGGGGTAGAATAGGTCTTCAGCAACCCATGTCAGTGTAAAAGGCGACTGTGCTTGTCGTAAACGGCGACTAACGGTGGTCAGGCTCGCTGACTTGGTTGATGCACGTCATCGTATCCCAATTGTGTGGATCGATGCTCATGATGTCATTCGGTGGATGTCTGGTCCAGACCGCCGTCACATAGCTGGAATATTGCTAAGTGCAGCGTTAAACAACAAACAAACAAAGAGACAATCATGGATTTCAATTGTGTTAAATATGGACAAAGAGTATTTAGGCAGCAAGTAGTGTTCTCCATGGGCACGAATGGTGATCCAATCCTTGTTGATCTGTTTCATTTTGCATTAGAGTTGGATTTTTTTTTATCGGATTGGCCTAATCAAACACGGGATTTTGTCCAAATAGTTTAATTTTAACGCCAGATATATCGATGATCTCATGCTGTTCAATAATGTTCTTCCTCTGACCCATCTAAACTAAATATATGTAGATATCACACAAGACTTCAACTGGATGACTTCAGTTTGTCAATCGTCAATTTCCCCTTTATGTGGAAGAACACTCAAGCACCTCCAGTCTTTGCTGTCTACATGTCACACCTTTTGACGTTCAATCGAGCATGATCTTTCTACGGACATTTCTAAGGGCGTAATACGACTCTTGCTAAAGAATTGTTTGATGCAGGTTACAGCATTTAAGGCCCCAGTAAGCTTTCAAACAGGTATTTGGAAGACAGATTGAGGACATTTCCAAATTTGACGCTTCCGTCACGAAAATAGGATTTCCTTAATTTTTACTTGTTTCCGTGTTTGTTCAAGTGAACGCTTGCCTTGCCTTTGCATGTGTTTGTGACGGGTGCAACCTGTGGCGCAGGATACGTTCACATTTCCGTGAACACTTGATACATTTTAATCCGAGTCGTACAATGGAATGTACTTTTAGCAGAGATTTGTAATGATTATTGGAAATGGTTTTGTCGCTTTTGTTTCATAACCCCAATACATCTGAGACGGAATGGGTTAACGAATACTGGTTGATATAAAAAAAATTCAAAATTGTAAACTTTATAAAACATTTCACACAGTGTAAATAGGCAACACGCCACTTGGGAGAACACACACGTGAAAACATTTAGGAATAAGCACGCGCGCACGAACCCACGCACACACGCACGCTCTTACACATGCACTCATGAACGCGAACCTTCCTGCTCACAATCGTTACATCATAGAATCAAGCGCGCTGGAACACAATCTCCCCGGTTTGACTGTACAGGTATACACAACTTTCTCCAGCACCGTCAACGCCACCATATTAATCTAGTTTACGTCACGCTGTATTGAATTGAACACGAGAGTTGAATCAGTTGAGATGAAAGAGATTTTATATCCGTGTTTGTGAGGAAAGGTAATTATATGCCGTGTACACTGGCGATATGGAATTTATGAAAAGGAGTTGAGCTATCCGCGCTTGTAATTGGCGGACATATCCTGCCAGAGCGCCTTTGCTCAACATAGAGCGCCAAGTGAAAACAGCATCAAAGACAGTGATTGCGGATACACACCTGCGTATAGTTTGACTTGACACCGTCTGATATTGATTAGTGTGTATGTTGCCAATCCCGAAAGGTGTTAATCCCTGATTCGACGAACGGGTGACTTTCGGCGAGGTTCAAGGTGAAAGTTTCAAACGACGTCGCAAATTCATTATTACGGAATATCAATAAATGTAAGTATGAATGACACCATTCTCCTATCTGTATCGGTATGATGATATGTTGTTGGCGGCTGGGCGGCATCATCAGCATCATCAGCATCATCATCATCATCATCATCATCATCATCATCTTTATCATCATCCTGTGTGGCGTATGAGACCCCTATAGTTAATGATGTGTGAGTATTTGGTTGAATGTGCTATGGGAAGGTCGCGAACATTAATCTTCTTGCAAAGTCCCAATAAATTGAAAAATGTTCTCTTAAATTCGATGACGTGGTCATTGTTTTTTCTATGTTTGGGTCTATATGCACATGGTGCTGCATCATTGATATCGGTGTGATACACATTTTAAAAGTAACTTAGTAAGTGATTCGGATCTTACTCAGAACCCATGGACACCACGTGGGTGAACATAACCACACACCTTCTCCCCACCGATCACCATGGGTGAACACCTACACACCCCACAAAGTCCAAATATAGCCACGCAACAAGGCCTCCTTACTGATCGGCCACAAGTGGACACCCCACATCCACGCACTCCCACACCCCTCAAAGTCCAACCAGACCCACACAACATCTATATCTCCTCCCTTCTGATCGAGCATGAGTCAACACCCCGCACCCCACACTTCCGCATCCCACTTTCCACACCCCACGACGTCAAAATCCCACTTCATCGCCACTCTACTGATCCCCAGGGGGCAGAATTAGGTCAGACTGCAAACAACACTACGTCGTGTTTTCTGCAAGTCGGTCACATTTTTTTATGTTTGTCTGTTAAGTCACTTGTGTTTAAGACTTGCACTGACAGACGGTGTTTGATGGATGTTGATCTTGTCTGACGGGCACTTGTTAGTCAGGTTTAGTATCCCTTAAGTAACCGACTTTGCAAAACGGGTTCGATTTTTTATTTTTGCTACGTGTTAAATTTCTTCTAACCAGAAGACGTATGCTATTTTCAGTAAAATGGAACAAAACATTATTCCACAAGGTCCAATACATTTTTATTTAGCTGTATAACGTCATAAAAAGAAATCAATAGGAAACGCAAATATGTGAATGAGTGAGTTGGGTTTAACGCCGTTTTGAACAGCATTTCAGTTCTATCACGGCGCGTCAGCTTAATGTGGGAGGAAAGCCCGAAGTGATGCAGGTCTCAGATGTTTACCACTTCGGTGAAACCCATGACACGGGCATGGTGCAGACAAACCTAGAAATTTACCTGGGCGAACCGGGATTCAAACTCACGATCATAGGTTTCTGCACAGCGAATTGCGGCGTATTAGACGACTGGGCCACCCGTGCCCCCACACATATAATTTTTTTACCGTTATCAATTGTATTAATCTGATCATTGGTCAATCTTCGTCACTGGACAGAAGTTGTGGGGCGTCAAGTAGAGTTGCGTCCCTTTGGTGCCAGGATCAGTTTGTCGTAGTTCCTGGTCCAAGATCCCTGGTCCCACAATACCCGTCCCCGTATTACTCCCACATTAATTATCATCATAGTCATTTGACATATAGCCCTGACTCGTTTGTACAATGGGGCATTCTTGTGTTAAGGTAAGATTACTCGTAATAATGAGGAGGTCCGGGTTCGACTCCCCCCATTGGTACACTCGTATAGAATCACCAATCATTTACATCGGTATATTCACCAATCAATCATTGCATGTTGCTGGCAGATCAGCCCTGATATGTTTGTGTACACTATATTCCACTGTTCCTGGAGGTGTGTGCAAATGAAGAAATGATTCCAAGATAGTCTAGACTTCCTATGTTGAAATTACATGAAACAGGAATGGGTAAGCGTGTAAGCATGTACACGGGGAATAGAGTCAGCTGCGTCGAGATATATAAACTGCCGGTCAAAATAAAGTAAACACTTCGAACTGGATTTGGCCAAATATAACATCCGTTATCAAAACAGGCTGCAAACAGACGCCAAAACACTGCAAACTTAAGGTCCTAAACACAATTATAGCTAAAATGGATAGAATTATCATTAAACCGCCCGCACGTTATCAGAAATGAGCGGGCCACTGTAACTTGATAATGCCCTCATATTG